GGTAACGGACTAGTCCTCCTGAACGCTACGGCTTCCAGTGTGCCTGCCAAAGTGTTGTCGGGCATTGAGTCTCATCTCTTTCATTTCTGATCGCAAAACTTCAGGCGAAACATATCGCTTTAAGTTGCGTACATTGACAAGCGGTCCAACTGCCAAGATCGTGCTTCTCAACTCAGGTCTTTGGAGTGTTGTGGTGTTCTTGCTGTTCTTCAGTGTTGATGCACTCAATTTCTGAAGTTCTAAAAGCACGAACGCAATAACGGAGCCTACAATGTTGTGGGCACCCGAAGTTGGAGGTGTATGTCAACCTGTCGCGGACAGCCACGAAGACCGCCATCACTATTCACTGAGCATGTTTTCTATCAGGACAACTCAAGACGATACATGCAACAGCTGCGAGAAACATGTATCTCACAGACATATTTGTTGTTGGTTTCAGCGACAGCAAGAAAAGATGTTGCTGCAATGCGATGAGTGTAATGTACTATCCCCTCCCCTTTGACTGAGGCAGCGGCTTTCGACTCTGCTCAAAAGGTGTTGTGCCTGGCAAAAAAGGGCACTCAATCTGGCAGAACTCCCATCTGGTGTCTGTTTTCTTCAATATGCCGCTCAGGACTTGGAGGCACACTCTGCCAGATTTGGCTGGGACTGCGAGGTGAGGATGCAGTGAGACAAACTGGCGTTTGTTGCAGATCACACGCCTCTGCCTCTGTGCCTGTGAAGCAGGCCAGCGGCGCTTCGCTCATCGCGGCTGTCTTCTGCACAGATTCTCCTGCTTTGTCAGCACATCTCCTGTAGACCTCGTGCCGATCCGAGTTGTACAAGGGGAGCAAGGTCTACACAGCCCATTGCGGCGATGCCAGGTGCTTCCCCTTGCTGCATGTTCAGATTGGACAGATGCTTAGGGCATCATCAGTCCTGAGCCCCCGGATTCAAAATCTGTGCTACACTTTCTAGACCGATTCTCGCTCTGTGGCAGCCAGACTTACACTCAGATTGCGTGGTCCCCAACATTTATGTCGTGCACTGGCACAACCCACCCGCGGCCTAACATCACTTGACTGCTCGGCTGACGGAGCGGCCAGCTCACCAGTCCTTGACGCAATCCTGAACAGATACTCGCAACATGAGACGGTTGTTTTGTGCCACGCAGAATGGCCAGAGCAAGTCTTCTGTCTGCTGTGCCGAGTTGCGTTGCCGGCATCCCCAGCGCCAGTGCTGCCCTTGCCCCAGCCTCCCGGGTCTCAATGCGGCCTGCAGCGCCCTGGCCACGAACTCATGGCTGTAGGTGCCTTTGCTGCACTCCGCTGTGGGCGAGATGGGACCGGATGCGTTGCCACATTGGCGCACTGATCCGCGGTGGGAGGACACGCGCCAAACACTGGCTGCGTCCCGCCCAGTCCCCGTCACCCTCACCGAAGCGCTCCTCACTGCCACCACCCCTGCCAGCGAACGCTTCGCGAGGCAGCCGCCCTACCGCCTGGAGCATCCGTACATATCGGATGGGTCGACGGCTACTGTGCATCACTGAATCACCGCCCCATGCCAAGAAGCCTGCCTCGAGCTTTTTGGCGGCCGCGCTTTTGTAGCAGACCTTGACCGTGCCTCTGGCCAGCCTTACGCCAAGCGTCTCCGACCGAGCAGCAGCCCACCCCTGCAAGCCGCTCACAGCACCTGCTTAGGCTCCGAGCACACCGCCGAAGGGTTGCCTGTGCCGGAGCCCATCGAGAACAGGAGTGCCGTCAACGCGCCCGCGACCTCTGTAGTCCGCCGCACGCTGCTTTGCGCGCTGCCTTGCGCGCTCCTCCAGCTCGCAGTGCGCGCTTCTGGCACTGACAACGAGGTGCGCGGCTGGACGTTTTTTACCCTCGCGACTCGCATGCTTTTTGTTCTGGTCGGCCAGTGTGAGCCGCACATTCCGCCAGCTGAGATCGACCGGCCCCTGGGTTGTTTCGGGCTGGACTATGGACCGAACTTCTCAAAGAAGCCGCCGCCGCCGCAGTCGGCGCGTCTGCGAGTGCGCAGTGCTGCGATCCAGCCACTGACGATGCTCGCGCAGCATCGCGCAACCAACCTCGTCCACATCGGGGAGCTCTCTGCGCCGGCCCGCGTGCTTACGGCTGAACCGCTATAGTCTCCGGCAACGTTGCGATACCCTCACTGCACTCGGTCCGCGCACTGTGCTCCTCGACTGAGACCGCGGTGCTTCTTGCAGCTGCACGGCGCGCAGCCGCTCGCCTTTCCCTGCTGCTGCCGCCCAGGCACGAACCATGCGAGTCTAGAGATTCCGCGAGGCTGGCAGCATCGAGCGACCCTCGTCAGTGACTGACAAGCGCGCGCTTGAGTTGCGCTTGCCGCATCTCGAGTGCTGCTGCTGTCGCATGCAACCTGCGCGGAATTGACGGTGTCGTCGCCGCTTTTCAGTGTTCTGCTGCGCTGCGCCGGCTCCGCCTGCCGCTGTTGGTCGCTCCGCGCGCGTGCGCTTGTCGTGGACGCCTTGACCCGCCCGGTATCGCCCGGTGACCACAGGCGTGCATGTGCGACGTCCGGATAGCCCGCAACATTCGTTTGACTGGCATGAACATCGACATACATCGATGTTCCGGTCTCCGATGGCGAACAGGCTGTCCCTGCATGTCCCTGCGGCATGGCTCGCAGCAGGCTGTTCATGCCACCATCGTCAGCCCAGTAATGCGGGCAGGTGCTGCCAAGCTTGGTGCCGACGTGCATCCCGGTCGAACGATTGAAGTCGCAGCTCGATTCCAACGCCGCCAGAACTGCCCTGGGCTCGTGCGCACGCGACGCTGCGGCTGGGTCATCGGCGTTGAGGTCGGGGGCCGTTTCAGTGCTGAGGCTGCCAACTGGCTCCGGATGCTCGCCGGGCAATTTACATCAGACACACGCGCCGCCATACGAGCGACTGCGCGTTGCTTTTGCGCCACATTCGCTTCCCACTCCCGCTCGCGCCCCGCACTTGCAGCTGCCGGGGGAACTCGATGTTTTGGGGGGATGACCGTGCCGCTTGCGCTGTGTTTGCTGATCCTGCTGGCACCCAGAGGGGCCTTGCTGCACGAGTGTTTCGGTATGCCTTATGCCAACAACACTCCGGGGCCCAGAAAGTCAAGAATAATATGCGTGACTGTGGCATCCATGCGCCGCCTGTGTGGGTGACGCCGGGCTGCAGTGGAAACACCGTGGCCGCCTGGAGACGTCGCCGCATCTGCTCGGCTGTGGATCGGCATGCTGTTGCTGCGCGTCGTTCTGAAGTCGCGGCTGTGCCGTGGCTTCGGTTTTTGCTGAGTGTCAGGCTGAATTTTTGTGCAATTGTTCATAGCTCTCGTGTGTCCAACTCATGCCACCTCCATAATTCGTGAGTGGACATTGGCTCGGTGTGGCCATCACACATTCCTTGATGGACGTTCTGCCCGTCACCGGTCTCAAACCCAGCCATGTTTATGTGGTGCTGCTGTGTGGAGCTTCGTTCACGCCCTGCGTTCCTGCCTCTTCTTTGTACCGTGGCGACGGGCTTGGGCATACCGCTCCCACCTGTCTGGGTTTAGAGCTGTTGAGCAGTCCTGACGGCGTGTTTCCGCATCTGCTCTTCCCGCCGCAGCACCCTTGCAACGGTGCAGGCTTGTTGTCAGCCCGCATGCACTTTGTGGCTGGTGTGTCAAGCCCAGCATTCATTGCTGGAAGGCTTGAATCTGTGATCTTATGTGGCGCATGTGCCCGCTCTGTATATATTTTTGTTTCACCTTGTATATATTGACCGCAAGACGGTTGCTTCAGGACTCACGCTGCTCAGCCGCGATGCTAGCGCACGGGTTGCACTCAACGTACTGTACGTCTCGCCGACATGAACCGTGATGTTCTGGTGCATAACGCACAGCACATCGAAGTTGTCTGCCATGGGCTGCCAATCTGGCATAGACACCAGGTCGCGGTTGATGCCACTGTCGTCAGCCCCCGTTGGGCATGACGTCATTCCTATCCTTTTGTGTAAAGACGCGTGTTTTCCAGCGGCATCCGCGGTCCCAGCCTACAAGAATGATTCGGGGCAACGGCTGCGGCTGGCGAGCAGCGGAGAGCCACCTCAATCTTCAGCGGAAACCTCGAGGAGATCGGGCTCTTCTCCCGCATGCACTCCTTGCGAGGGACGTGGTGCGACAGTGTATGCTAGCACTAAGCTTCCGACAGATGAAACATCGAAGGTGTGTTTTTTAGCTATTTTTTGCATCCGCGCCTCCTGTCTGCACCGTCCGCCGACTTCAACCGCGAGCACGACGAGGCGTTGCGGGCCTGGGCGGGGAAGTTTCGGGCTTCCGCGCCACATCGACGGCGGCTCTGTCCCGATCCGGTGAAGCCGGTTGGGCCCGTCAGCGTGCACTTCGCTGCGCCAAGACGCGCTAGTATACGGGAGCAGGTCGAGTCGGCGCCACGCTTCCTGCGCGACACGAACCCAGGCTCTCTCCAGTATGGGAAAGCGCCTGACTAGCAGCCCGCTCCGGGCACAGGCTGTGCGGTGATTTCCCAGCTGGTCAACCGCGGCTCTGCAGCCTGGCTCGCCATGGCCAACTGCATGTCCATCGGCAAGGAGGCGTGTGCCCTCGTCTATAAGGATGGCCCGCAAGCACTTGCCAGCATGTGCACCGGCTTGGGAGCATAGCAACGCCTGGGAACTCGACGACAAGCTGCGGACGCCGTGCTGTGTCCGGACCCTGGAAGCGGCTGGGGTCCGTCGCTCCACCTCCTGTTCCAGCACTGCGGCTTTCGCGGTTCTCTTTTCAACACCATCGTCGAAATGTTGGCTGAACGCAAGCGGCATCAGGCATGCGCGAAGGTGCGACAGGGCGAACTTTCACGCCCCGCACGCGGCCCTCCGGAGCCGGACCGCGATGGCTCAGGACGTTTTTCAACACCAACCGTCCCGGCCTGTGCACCTCACCACGGGAGCAATCGCCGCCGCCCTGCGCTCCGCAAGTCGGGGCGGGGCACTCGGCCTCTCGGGCATGCGAGCGGAACACTTGAAACAGCTACTTCTGGATGGCGAGGCCATTGAGCTGCTGGCGGAGGCTTCCATGCTCCTCGCACAGGCTCGCGAGCCGGTCGACGTGTGCAAGGCATTCGCTATGGCTCACATCACGGTTTTGCGCAAGCCGGACGGGGCGTGCGCGGAATCGCTACGGGCGACATGTTCCGCCGCCTTGTTTCGATTGCTATAAGGAGTGGGCCAACAAGTTCGACCAGGCAATGCGGCCATTCCAATTCGCGTCACAAGCGCGAGCAGGAACGGACGCCGTTGCCACCCACGTGAGTGCCGCTTTGCAACACGCCGAGGAGCCGTGCTTGTGTCGCCTTCTTTTACGGGAGCACCTCCACCTACTACTGATGGGACTCTGCTGGCCGCTGCCGGGACGTCCCTCAGGGCGACAGCTCGACGACAGCCTCGTCGCCTTCTTGGACGACCTATATGTGGTCACGCAGTCGTCGCGATCGACAGCCGCCTTGGACGTGACCTTGTTCGCTGTCTAAGACCGGTGTGGCATCGCGCCCAATCTGGGCAAGACTCGGGTGACCGCTGCCGAAGCCGGCCCGGCTCCGCATGGTGCGGAACTGGGCGATGAGGTGTGGCGGGGCGACAAGCCCGATGCCCAACGCGGCGTCGTCGACAGTAGAGCTCCCAGCTCAAAATTCTTCCAGCCATTTTGGCTCAAGCCAAGCCATTTTGGCTCAAGTGGCCGCAGCGAAAGGCGTTCGCC